GTCAGTTAGGAACAAGTAGGTTTTGGCCGTGCAGCACTTTTGTTCCTGCTTACTAAACTGCATCACTTCTCTCTGCTCCTCCCTTTCCATCTCCTTTCAAGAAGTGTCGAGAGGAGCCAACCTGCAGGTCCCGCACTCGTGACGGCGCCGAACGAACGTGACACCCAAAACAAACTGCTATTGCTCTGGGAAACACCGACCTTTGCTGTCCTCGTATTACGTGACGACCTCTCGTCTCCGCTATCCTCCCCTGGTCTTACCAAACAACTTTTACCAAAGAGCCTATTAGGCCAGAATTCCACTTTGTTGTTAAAAAGGGTCCTGTCCTTTCAGAGCGCTAGCTCTTTCACGTCTATTTTTCAATCAAAGGTGGTGGAGGAACACAAGTCCATTGTTCGTCTCGCAGATGGAAGCTGGAGTTACTACGGCAACAGCTCTAATCCCTGTTTTTACCACCTTTCTTTATATTATTGGCCCATCAAGTGGTACCTTTTAACTCAGGAGCTGGAGGGGCCAGCGGCGACGCTCCCTCTGTCTAATTAGCTGTGATTTTTGCTGCACAGTTCATGATGAGCTAATCGAACACTTGCAAAATAATGACATACCGGGAGCAGCTATTCCTTCTCCTGAGGCCCTGCTATAAGAATAACAATAATGATTCTATTACGGAAGAGCGGACTTTAAAATGCTGCTTGGCCATCACAACAGAGAAGGTAATTGTGCTGGTGTTGTCCACACAATGAACAAGCTATTGTTGGCGACTTGAAAAATAAAGGAGCAGAGAATGGGAGCCACAGTGATTGGTCTGCTCTGCCATGCGGGGCCCATGTTGAATTGTCTGGCAAAGGTCTTTGATAGAACGCTGAAAAAAGGGCTTGGATGAAGACAACTGTCTGGCTTTTCTCTCTTTTTTTGTGTCTGGGCCTCTTTCTCTCACCGCTTAAATAACCACCAATCCGCATTAGGCCCCTGCTATTCATATAGTGAATGGTGCTGGGCCACAGAAGAACATCTTTTGGGCACATGAGGCTTAGGTAGCCTCCGTGTGCTAGACCCATGAAGATCTGAGCCCGTGTTTACTCAGAATTATCTCTGTGTATCCTAGTTTCAATAAAAAAATGACCCTGCCATACTGCTTCCATAATACATTAAAGCAACACAAGAGCCCAGGTTGAAACTTTCCAGATCAGCTGTCACTAAAATAAGGCTCATAAGCCAAACACAAACATGTCAATGAAGTGACTGATAGCTATAAACAAAATAACTAACCATAGAGAATAATATCAATTAATCATCAGCATGCATGGCAAATGAGCGACAGTCCAGAAGTGCTGGAATCCGATTAAATCACAGCACATTAAAAACTTAAGAGATTTTATTTTGGGCTTCTTTTTTTTCTTCGTCTTTCAAATCTAGGTCAATATGGGACTGAAAGTTTGAGAAAAATCTGAAATTAGTTTTTGAGAGCGATGAAGGCAGTTAGTCATTTGAATCCTCGTGTGCTGACTGTTGTGAGAACGGATCTTTGTTTGAGCAAGCATAGGCCGAGGGGAGAGCGAATGCTAAGTGGACCCCCTTTGCTTAGTCAACCTTCAGTGTGCTTCATTTATCTTCATCTTGTTAGAGTAAATTAATTAACAATCTAGCTGTTACACACTTTCTCCTTTCATTACATCAAATAATGGCAGAGATGGAGGAGGAGGTCCTCTCCTCTGGGATTAGCCTAGAACTGCTGGAGACATCTCTCTCTCTAAGACTTTTCCTTACTCTATTTCTCCCTCACTCTTAAGCCACTCTTATGCCAAACTTCACAGCTATCAATTCTCTGATGTGATCAAAGAAAAGAAAAAAAAGTCAATGTCCATTATGCACGTCAATAAAAATGTACAATTTGATTCTGCTTCTTTTAAAAATTAATCTACAAATGAAAACAGAGTCTTAACATTTACTGTTTTCATTGTCAATGTAAAAACATAATTGTGTGTGTGTGTGTGTGTGTGTGTGTGTGTGTGTGTGTGTGTGTATATATATATATATAATTATAATTGTCTTTTATTATGAGGAATATATATAGTAAAATTGAAAATAAAATTTACATCCTCATAATAAAATAACTGATCAGCATTTGATTGAATTCATTCAAAATTTCAAGATGACTACAGTGGTGTGAAAAAGTGTTGGCCCCCTTCCTGATTTCTTATTTTTTTTGCATGTTTGTCACACTTTAATGTTTCAGATCATCAAACAAATTTAAATATTACACAAAGATAATGCAAGTAAATACAAAATGCAGTTTTTAAATGATGATTTAATTTATTAAGATTAAAAAGCTGTCCAAACCTACGGGGCCCTATGTGAAAAATGAATTGCCCCCTCCTGTTAAATCATGAAAGAACTGCAATTAACCACATTATTTTAGAAAGCTGAGTTAAATTTCACTAGCCACACCCAGGCCTGATTACTGCCAGACCTGTTGAATCAAGAAATCACTAAAATAGACCCTGTCTGACAAAGTGAAGCATGCTTAAATAGCAACACATTATGCCACGATCTAAAGAAATTCAAGAACAGATGAGAATCAAAACAGTTGACATCTATCAGTCTGGAAAGGATTATAAAGCCATTTCTAAGGCTTTGGGACTCCAGCGAACCACGGTCAGAGCCATTATCCACAAATTGAGAAAACTTGTGGAACAATGGTGAACCTTCCCAGGAGTTCTGGCTCAAGAAAAACTAAATTAAGGTTTTGGAGTGGCCAAATCAACTTTTTCACGTAGATCCAGGCAGGTTTGGACAGCTTTTTTCCCTTAATAAAATAAACAATCATTTAAAAACTGCATTTTGTATTTACTTGCGTTATCTTTGTGTAATATTAAAATTAGTTTGATGATCTGAATCTTTTAAGTGTGACAAATATGCAAAAAATTTAAAAAACAGGAAGGGGGCAAAAACCTTTTCACACCACTGTATATTAAACATTTAAATATGGACTGGTTGGTAGAGTCTCACTCTGATTATTGGTACAGTACACAAAATATTACAAACTATAGATCATTACTAGAAAGTCATTTTCTGATCTCAGAATTCATGCTGTAAAAAATAATATAATAGAAAAGTAAATTCTGATCTCTTGGGGGCAAAATAACATTCTTGTCTACATTAGCTTTTCTGTTACTGCTCATCTGCAAAATGTCTCTCCATCACACATTACTTTTTAATGATATAGGAAATGCACTATGCATTTTATGCATTTATTCCAGTTTAATCAAGAGATTACTCAGAAAAAGAATGAAGGAAAAACATAAGCTTTAGGATGAACTAAAAGGGTGCACACTTCCTTGGTTAAGGTTTGAACAACTTGAAGGATTAGTGAGGAAGTGATAAGGTGTCTCTGACCTCTCTCAACCTACTGCCCATCCTCTAGTCCTGTCCCAAGATATATTGTTATCCTCCTGCAACAGGTGGCCGCAGTCAAACAGTCCTCCATACAGTACATTAAAGGACAAAGGCAGGCAGATAAAAGCATTGAGCTGACAATAATCCAGCACGCTCTACCAGATTCTGCTGCCAACGGCAATATAAGTGGGTCACATGTCTGATAACAAATTCATCAGCTGCAGGAATGCCTGAATGACAACGTAAAACTATTATAATAAAAGAGTTAAAAATGTCTTCACAGATTATCTAGCTGAATTAAATCAATAAAGAATGCATGGTTTTTGCCACAGACTGTCCTAAGAGCATGTGATCACCAACAAACACACCGGAAACCTCTTGTCTCGGGTCAAATCTTGCAGCCGTTTTATGTGGATATGCAGAAGGGATCAGAGATAGTCTATTCTGCTCCTTTAGGTTCATTTAGTGCAAATCATTCTCAGTTAGCTTCAAATTACTACAGTTCAGTCGCTAGACTGAAACAAATTTTGGTGTAGGATTTCCTTTGAAACAAGTTTCATTTAGAAATTGCTTATAGATTTCACAAATAATAACAAAGAAAAGACAAGTAAAAACTAAATATTAAAATTTGAAGTACAAGAACTAAAATAGTATTTTATTGTAAAAACATTTTTTAAATATATTCGATGGTGCAGCATATACTATGAAAAAATATATTCATTAGAAATGAAGAAAATAAAGTTGCTTAAAAAATGAGGCACATGAACAGGCATTCAAAATCTTTTTACTGTATTTGTGAATTAAAAAAAAAAAACTTTTTTTAAACAAATATCGTTAATTACTAAATAGCATTCATTATTTTTTTTTTGTATTCTGACAGCTTGGAAAGAGAATAAAAATGTATAAATGACCTTTTGAAAAAGAAATCAAAGGGGATTCATTAGCTTTAGCAAAGTTTGGCTGACAGCAGCTTCGAAAGGCAGATGTTGCTGCTGCTGTTTTTAATGAGAGATCACTCATTAGGGTTGCTAGCAATTCAAGTGTGGGGAAGATGCTATGCACAGAGACAGAACAGCCAATGGCTAACACACTCGCTGTTATTTACTTCCTCTGCACAGTGACACACAGACACACAACACAAACTCGTAATTAGAGTCACAGGAAGGGGATGGGGTAATGGCGTCTTTACTCGTTTTGACTGCAGTTATAACACAAACACACAAAACAGGAAATGGTGAGAATCAATAAATTAAGCCCCGCCCCACTCGCGACCTGACCAATCAGTGAGCTGGGGCAGAGGGGAAGGTGACAAACGTGCATGCAGTATGGGGAGTGAAACCTGTCTATCACTCGCTGACTGACTGATAGGCGGCACAGGGTGTATGAGGGGGGGAAATGTCTGATTATCTGCAGAAAGTGAGTGTGAAGGAGTTGCATTTTTGAGGTAAAACTTGCACACATACACACAAACACAGACGGAGACAACACATCATCCCACAAGTTGGCTAATGATAGGTGGTGTGATATTAGAGCTGTGAAAGGACAGATGAATTCAGCCCCGGCGGACCCCCTGTGGCAACAACAGAAAAACTAAAGCAACTAACCTCAGTAAAAAGCTGCTACGCAGAAAGCCCTCCATGTTCAGCATTTGGGTTCTGTAGCAGGAGAAATACACAGAGAGCCATTGTAACTGAGCGAACACAAGTTAGCAAGTTAGCGAACACAAGTTAGCATTTAAAACAGTAACAGAGGGGAGAAAACAGACAAAACCACCAACACATCCTTGACTGTCCCTGAAACATTTTTATCTTCCAAACCAAATGCAAGAACAAAGATGTAACACTCCCCACAGCTCCACTAATAGCTTTTCATCCATCTTTTCGGAGAAACAGACATTTGTCATTAGCGTACATGGTTTTCCAGTTCCATTTTTGATAATATGTTATTGTATGACAGTGGTTCCTGGGCGCTGCTCCTCCCAAAGCAGTGTGTGGTGGTCCATCTGTGGACCATGTGTGGCGGGGCCGGTGCGGCTTCTAGGAGCTGGACCACAGGGGCCCACACAGGGCCAACTCTGAGCCAATGCTGGGCCGCGCACCCACAGGGAGGCGGGAGGATGTGGTCATGATATCACCACGTGCAGAGGCTGCTCTAGAAGTCTAATGCCACAAATTTGGGAGCACATGTTTAGAAAATTGTCTCCAGAGGGTTTCCATTAATCTCAGTTTTTGGTCTTTACAAGACCTACATACATATATGACTTATAAAGATCAAGTGTCTGTTTGTATAGTACAATAAACTGTTGTGCAAAAGACAATGTAAAGAATGTAATGAAAAACAGAACACTAAAGTAATAAAAATATATATTTTTTTCTATGTGAAAAACTTTAACTGTATAATTAAATGTCATGTACACACATACATATATAGGTATATGTCATATTTAACTGTTGCTTAACATTTATTTGCTGTAGCTTAATTTTATTAGTTTAAGCTAAATAAATATAAAGGTGTAGTCTATATATATATATATATATATATATATATTACATTTATTTAAAGCTACAATTAATAAAATTGCATACACACACAAACTTTATATCACTATATATGCTAAAGCTTTTTTCTAAAGACAATGCAAAAAAACATAATGTGGTCTAAAATACTAAAAACTAAAATACTAAAATTTTAAATATACAATATATAGCTTTAATTAAATAAAAAAGCCATTTAATTATTATATTATTGATATAAATAATTGGATAGATAGATAGATAGATAGATAGATAGATAGATAGATATTAGGGCTGTGCAAGTTAACGCGTAAATTAATTAACGTCGACAATTATTTTATTGCTCGTTAATGAAGTTTTTTTATTATTATGAAAGTCTGTTGCTCACTGGCTCTGAATACACCTATAGACAAACCATGGGTCACAGAAGGGGTGGGATGTTGATCGGTACTGGCTTGGGATGGGTGTCATCACGCGTCTTAACCAATGAGAGCATTTGGGGAGGGCCTAAGACTGCAGCATCGCAGTGCTCACATGAAGCGTTCACGACTTCATAAGTGAGAAATAGGAATAGCACATGAAGGCAGCAGAGAAGCGCTCTCACTCAGCACAGTGGAGTGCATCGTTTTGTTAACTTTGTGGTTTATTATTTTGAGTCGTTTGGGATGCAGTAACACACACGGCCCTCTCACAATATATTGCTTTACAGATCTATCACTTTTGCCACTCAGAAATGCACCCGAGACCAACTGAACCACGCTCTGGCCCACCTCTTCCAACCGAGCCATGGCCGGCTAAACGAACCGCGGCACACTAGCGATCACACTAGTCAAACGAACTGGGCTTTGGGGGCCAGACGTGCTCGGGCACTGTTAAGATTGCCTAGTGTGAGTACACCCTTATTCTCCCTCATCCCGCACACATGAGTCTCTATCCGCCCGCACTCGCCCATCAAGTGTTGTCCCGCGCCGCAATTTGCTGCGCTAGGCCCACGATAGTGCAGGACTCTACTAGGAAGCTGCCTGTTATAATGTTATGATGGAGGCTGTGGACTCTGAGCATAACTTGTTTTTCTATAACAAACTATAAAATATTTTCTATAAAAACGTTAATGCCCTGGCAGTGGCAAACAGCTTTGGTTTTATATGTAATTTGATTACATTAATTTTATAAGCTGAGATTTACAAGAAATATTTTAACTGCTACTATGTAAAAGGAATACTACTGTAAAAAAGCACCTTATTTGTTTAAAGTGTTTGCAAACCAAATGGTATTACACTTTTGTTCATATTGCACTACTTTTAAATGAAAAAAGTGCACAATACACTACGTTTGATTTCATTATTGAATTTTGTGCATAACAATGCAATTAATCGTAGAAAATCATTTGATTGATAATTTTAATCGTTGCCCAGCACTAATACATACAGTATATATATATATATGTGACCCTGGACCACAAAACCAGTCATAAGGGTCAACTGAGATTCATACATCACCTGAATAAATAAGCTTTCCATTGATGTATGGTTTGTTAGAATAGGACAATACTTGGCCGAGATAAAACTATTTGAAAATTTGGAATTTTCTGAAATATATTGAATATATTGAAATATTGAGAAAATCGCCTTTAAAGTTGTCCAAATGAAGTTCTTAGCAATGCATATTACTAATCAAAAATTAAGTTTTAATACATTTACAGTAGGAAATTTACAAAATATCTTCATGGAACATGATCTTTACTTAATATCCTAATGATTTTTGGCATAAAAGAAAAATCAATAATTTTGACCCATACAATGTATTTTTGGCTATTGCTACAAATATACCCCAGCGACTTAAGACTGGTTTTGTGGTCCAGGGTCACATATTCTAAGACCCTGTCTACAGTTGGCTGTGGTTGTCTTGCACCTATGGCACTCAGTGAAGCTCTACAATATAATGGTGCTTTTCCACTGCATGGTACGGCGCGGTACGGTTCAGTACAATTCACTTTTGGGGGGTTTTCCACTGGGTACAGTACCTGGTACCTGGCACTCTTTTTAGTACCACCTCGGTTGAGGTTCCAAGTGAACCGTACCATTACCAAAACGTGACGTGTAAACTCTGCTGATCACTGATTGGCCGGAGAGAATCGTCACTACCTGTGTCACTGAACTTGTGACACAAACACAACAGAACCGCTAGATTTAAATCAGCACAGCAAGCGAAGGATCGAGCACAACTGTTTTGAACGAGCGCACCTTTTTTAACAACCAAAAAATGGGGAGGAAGTTGAGGAAGTACAGACGTTCCTCTCGTTGATAGCCGAGGAGTGGATCCAGCTAGAGCTGGAATGAAAAGGTTTTTCAGGAGTCACGGCAGTAGAGGCGGCACAAATATAACGACATGTGAATAATCCCGCCCACTCTAAAGCGGTACTGAACTGTAGTGGAAACGCAAACCGTGCCGTACTGTACTGAGCCGTGCTGAGCCGAGTCGTACCACGCAGTGGAAAAGCGCCATAAGTTCTAAATCTGCATCAGGTCTCTTACTTTTGGTCCCTTCTGGAGCTATAACCAGAGATGATGCACTTCCAGAGCTGTTTTTTATTTTTTTTTAAACTGCAATACTGCAGAACGGAATTCATCAAGTGCTGAAACTAATTAGCGATTTCTCTCATGCTCTAACACCCCACTCTCTCTCTCACATCATCATCATTATAAATAAGAGACACATCAGAGTCAAAAGACATTCAGTCTTCTGCCTCCTAAATGCTTTCGCTTTCAGTGACATGGGTGTAATTTGCCCCATGCTTCTCCCCTCCCTTCATCCTCTCTCTCTCTTTTTCTCGGTGGCGAGTTGCGCTGCTGTGGACGGGTAGACACAAAGCCACTGAGAGAATGGAAAGCGTGAGATCAGAGAACCCCAAGGACATTGCGCCTTTCAGGCTGGCCAGCACTTAGCAGGCCAAAGGACCCGTAAGACCCGTTGAGACTTTTCTCACAGTCAGGTGTCTGGGGGTGTTTGGGGGATGGTAAAGGAGTGTTTTCGGCCATGGGCGCTGTGCTCACATAATACCCAAGTGCTACCACAGCAGTGACAATGCGAGAAAACAACAGTAAAAATGCAACAGAAGCAATCAAGCGTGTCTCCTCACCATTCTGAGGGAGTGTTCAAAACACACACACTCTCGCACACCCTCCTCTCACACTCTTTCTCTCCAACTCTTGCTTTTATTAGGCTAGAAGACAGCAAAAACACACGCATGCTGACAACATCTCTCTTATGGAGCGCACGCTCTGAGCAAGAAGAGAGATTTGATTTAAGTGTGGATTGATTGTCACGTATGTTTATTCTGATTAAAAATATGCAAAATAAAAGAGAGTAAGGAATATGACACATCTAAATAGACTAGTTAGAATCACACACTATAAATGTTAAGTGAGATCTCTGGCACAATACAGAATAACTTGCCAACATGGTCAAGGCCTAAAGCGCTTTGAGTTGGAAATTAAGGCTTTTCTATTTTGTTTCAATTCTGTTCAGTTTTAATTCACTTCATGGGTGAATCGCATAAAAATGAGTCCAGGTCTAATTTTACCCCAAAAGCCAAATAAAAATAAGTTTTATTATTATTATTTAGATTGTTCTGTTGTTATCAATATTGAATCTCATTCCTGTCATTATATTAGATTTTCTGTTAATATTGAATCTCTTTTTTTTGTAATTATGTGTTCACTGTATCTATAAAGTGCTTAATTGTCTTGAAAATAATGCTCCAATGGTTATAAAAGAGGCTTCATTTCTTTAAGCAAAAATACATTTAGAATGAAAATGAGAAAAAAATGCTAAATGCTAAATTATTATTATAATTATCAACCTCTGGACCACTCTGTGCAGTAATACCTAGTTCTGTCTTATATAAAGAGCGAGGCATTTTCACTGAAACAGTAGCATTCAAGTGGTAAGTTTCTCTGTGTCCTCCTCAGTTTTCTTACCCTCTGGCTGCTGTGTTACCTCAGCCTTCTCCTGCAGTTGAAAAAATTAACTCACTGTAGAAATTGAGACAACTAGGATCCTTGTGTGTGAGGATTTAACTGCGGTTTACAAGCTGAACCGAGGAAAAAGTGACTGAGCCTCAACAATATTGTCTCAGCATA